TCCATGTGGAATGCCTGTGTGAGTCAGGTGCTATGTTAGGTGCCCAGGGACATGCGATGGTTTCCGAAGACGAGAGAGAGAACGCATGAGGGAGGGACTTTGCACAGAGCTGCTTTGGAGACAGGGTGCAGGGCAGCTGCTCCCAGGAGGGCCTTTGACTCAGCTCCACGCTGTGAGAAGAGGGCTGCAAATCCTCTCCCCAAAATGTACTCTATATGTTGTACGTGGGCAAATTGTTGAAATCTACGATTAGCATAGAGTTGGTCCTCTGTATATAAAGTCATACTAGAAATGATCCATAATGAAGAAGGAGATGGGAGAGAGAATGGGAGGGGGGATGGGAGTGGGGTGGGCGGCATGGGGGAAAGAACCATTGTATTCCTAAAGTTGTGTCTATGTAAAAATGCATCCATTAAATTAAGAAGAAGAAAAAGAAGAAGGAGGAGGAGGAGAAGGAGGAGGAGGAGGAGGAGGAGGAGGAGAAGAAGGAGGAGAAGGAGAAGGAGAAGGAGAAGGAGAAGGAGAAGGAGAAGGAGAAGGAGAAGGAGAAGGAGAAGGAGAAGGAGAAGGAGAAGGAGAAGGAGAAGGAGAAGGAGAAGGAGAAGGGATGGCTGTGAGGACCTCCACCCACCATGCTCTCCGGTCCCCCTGCTGGGCATCCTATGCGGCCAGCCATGCTGACACAGAGCAGAGGGGATGGTGAGACAGCCCTGCGGCTGTTCCACATGGGTGAGCCAAAGCAGGTTCCTGCAGGGCAGGAGCTTGTGTCTTTTCAGCTCCCTACCTTTCCTCCCTGTCTGTTCTCTGGGCCAGGGAGAACCAGTGTGTCTCTCTTGTCAAAATAAAATATAAACACTGAGCTAAAAAGGAAAAAAAAAAACACAAAAACCCTAGTATTTAAAAGGATTGGAGAGCTACCGAGGTGGCAAGTCCTTGAGGGGATCAAGCACAGAGGTTATGCGATTTTCAGGGTAGCATTGCCCTCCTCTCTCCTCGCCCCTGCAACCAGCCATGGGCTGATCCGTGCAGGCAGCCCAAGCGAAAAGAATTTGAGCAGAGCTTTAGGCAGTCTCATGTGGCTTAAGAGAGAAAAATGAATTCTGGACTTGCTAAAGATGCCCCAGGAAACGCAGTAGACACATGAAGAGCTGTAGTCTAAGAATAAGGCCAGGGGCCAGCAATGTGGTGTAGCGGGTAAAGCCACAGCCTGCAGTGCCTGCATCCCATATGGGCGCCAGTTCATGTCCTGGCTGCTCTACTTCCAATCCAGCTCTCTGCTGTGGCCTGGGAAAGCAGTGGAGGATGGCCCAATTCCTTGGGCCCCTGCACCTGTGTGGGAGACCCAGAAGCAGCTCTTGGCTCCTGGCTTCAGATCAGCACAGCTCCGGCCGTTGTGGCCAAGTGGAGAGTGAATCAGTAGATGGAAGACCTCTCTCTCTGACTCTTCTCTGTGTAACTCTGACTTTCAAATAAATTAAATAGAATAAATTAGATTAAATAAATTAATTAAAAGTATGAGGGCGAGCCAAGATCCACACTGGCCTTTATAAAGCCCTATACATCAGCCCAATCCTAGATAAGGTTAGAATGAGCTTCCCCTCCCTTAAATGCCTGCTTCTCTCTGGAGCAAGACAACATCATCGGGAGCCCCAGATGATCTCTATAGTTTTCATTACACAATATCTGGTATTCAAAAAAAAAAAAAAATCTCCCAGCACACAGGATTCAAAACTCAATGACTTCCTGTTTCCTAAAAGAGGGGGAAAAAACCTGCTTCATTATCCTGATAGCAAAATAACTGACTTACACATTCTAGGAAACATCCTGAAGAAATTCTGGAGAAGAAAGCTCAGCAGAATGGCAAAGGAAATTTCCAGAAATGAAAAACCTAACTGGAATTAAGAACCTCATGGAGGGATTTACAGTAGATGAGACAGTACTGAAGAGAGAGCAGACAACCAGACAGAAGCAGCCAGAGAAAAAAGCACAGGTTTCCAGCGCACCAGAGACACGTGAGGCAAGGCCACAAGATGTGACCTACATGTAGTGGAGCCCCAGAACAGAAGGAGTGGGGCAGAGATGACAGCTGGAGGCTTAAGAGCCTAGAATTTACCAAAACGTGACCAATGATATAAAGTTACACATCTCAGAAGCACCACAATGCCCAAGCGAATCACACCTAGTCACATCCCAGTAGAATTGCTGAAAGGTAAAGTAAAAAAGATAATCTGAAAAATCAGGCAAAAGGAAAAGATGGATCACTTGGAAAAGTGCAGTAATGACTGACAGCTGACTTCTCAAAGGAACAACAGTCTCTGACTCATGATGGGTTGACTTGTGATTGATTTCTTTCTTTCTTTTTTTTTTTTTTTTACACTTTACAATGATGTGAAAGCAATAAGCTTTCAGTAGAGTGCTTTGAAAAAGAAAGAGAGGGAGAGACAGAGTTCTCCCATCCACTGGTTCATTTCTCAGATTGGCCATAACAGTCAGGGCTAGGCCAGGCCTTAGTTAGAAGCCAGGAGTCAGGAGCTTCTTCCAGGTCTCCCATGTGGGTGCAGGGGCTGAAGCACTTGGGCCATCTTCTGCTTTCCCAGGCCATTAGTAGAGAGCTGGATCGACAGAAGAGCAGCTGGGACACAAGCCAGCGCCGATATGGGATGCTGGCGCTGCAGGCAGAGGCTTAACTTATTATACCACAGCACCGGCCCCGACCATGTATTATACTGGAGCACCTAGGTTCAGTTTTCAGCTCTGGCTCCTGTCTCCAGCTTCCCGCGAGAGTGGACCCTGACTGGCAGCAGTGATGGTTCAATAACTGGGCTCCTGCCACTCGTGTGGGAGACCTGGATTGTGGTCCTGGCTCCTAGCTTTGGGCCTGGTCCAGCCCTGGATGTTGAAGGTATCTGGATAGTGAACCAGAGGATGGGAGCTCTTTGTTTCCCTGCCTCTCTGATAAATAAAATTGGAAAGGTTTAAAAACACATATTGGATTAAAACTAAGAGAATTCATCACCAGTAGAACCAAACTAAATAAAAACTAAAGATTGCTCTTGAGGCAGAGGCAAAATGATCCTACTTGGAAACATGGATATCTAAAAATGAATGCAATGGAAAGGGTAAATGTATCAGTGAATCCAAATGTACATTTTTCTAAGATTTATTTATTTATTTGAAAGGCAGAGTTACAAAGAGGCAGAGTCAGAGAGAGAAAGGTCTTCCATCTGCTGGTTCACTCCCCAAATGGCCGCAATGGCCACAGCTGGGCTGATCTGAAGCCAGGAGCCTGGAGCTACTTCCGGGTCTCTCACACAGGTGTAGGGTCCCAAGGACTTGGGCCATCCTGTACTGCTTTCTCAGCAGAGAGCGGGATTGGAAGTGGAGTAGCCAGGACTGGAACCAGCTCCCATATTGGACGCCGGATCTGCAGGTGGTGGCTTTACTGGCTATGCCACAGTGCCAACCCCTCAAATGTACATTGACAATAAAATAATATTAATATATCATGGTGCTTAAAATATACTTTAGAATTCCAAAATATCCAATTGCTGCTTATACACCAAGGATGAAAAAAGACTCAAAAGTAAAAGAATGAAAAAAACAGACCGTAAAACACCAACCACAAAAACACATGCAGGAAACATCACTAGAGATAAGAAACATTTCTTTTTTTATTTTATTTTTTTATTTTTTGACAGGCAGAGTTAGACAATGAGAGAGAGAGAGATAGAGAAAGGTCTTCCTTTTCCATTGGTTCACCCCCCAATGGCTGCTGCGGCCAGCGCACTGGGCTGATCCGAAGACAGGAGCCAAGTGCCTCTCCTGGTCTCCCATACGGGTGCAGGGCCCAAGCACTTGGGCCATCCTCCACTGCCTTCCCGGGCCACAGCAGAGAGCTGGACAGGAAGAGCAGCAACCGGGACAGAATCCGGCGCCCTGACCGGAACTAGAACCCGGTGTGCCCGCGCCACAGGCAGAGGATTAGCCTATTGAGCCTCGGCACCGACCATAAGAAGCATTTCTTAAAGATAAAAGGGTCAGGGCCAGTGTTGTGGCAAACAAGCAAAGCCGCTGCCTGCCAACCCTGGCATCCCATTTGGATGCCATTTCATGTCCTAGATGCGCTACTATGGATCCAGCTCTCTGCTATGGCCTGCGAAAAGCAGCAGAAGATGGCCCAAGTCCTTGGGCCCCTGCTACCTACATGGGAGACCTGGAAGAAGCTCCTGGCTCCTGGCTTTGGCCTAGCCCAATCCCGGGCATTGCAGCAATCTGGGGAGTGAACTAGCAGATGAAAGATTCTCTCTCTTTTTTTCTGATTTGCAAGTAAATAAATTTTAAAAGATGAACGTGTCGAATTACCAGAATATATAACAATTCAAAATATGTAAGCATCTAGCAGATGTTAAAGGCATATAAAGCAAATTCAGAGAAATGAAGCAATTCACAGCTGTAGTGGAAGATTTTTAGTACACTCCCCTCAGTAACTGATGGGACATGCTGACATCATTTAACTGACAGCATGAAGAGACCAAAACACTCAGTAAGGATACATGCCTTCAGAGGTGTCAATACGGCATGACGCAGCTTTGACCTAATCGGCAAGTATAGTATACTGGACCCCAAACTTCCGCATCACTTAACAGATCTGCGTTCCTTCTCAACCAAGCATCAAGCATCTTCTTGCTCCCTCTACCCTCCCTCTCGCTTCAGCCTCCCACCTCCCCAGACGCCACAGAGCGGCGGGCTCCCTGGTCCCTCTCCTGTCCTCCTTCCTCGCCCATCCCCACGTCCCTGCCTGCCCGCACGGTGGCCCGCTCTAGCCCTTGGCACCATTTCCAAGGTGGGACCCTGGTGGTACCTCTCGGTCCGCACCGCACTGCCCCCAGCTCACAGCAGCCCCCCTTGCCGCCCACTCAATCAGCTCAGCACCCCCCTATGCGCGCAGTGGTCTCACTCCAACACATAGCAGCGCCCCCCCCGCCCCAAAATGGTCCAGCCCTCCCACCCCCTCCTTGGCCGCTGGTTGCTGAGGGCCACAGTGGTGGCTGCGTGACAGAACCCACAATGGCGGCAAAAGACCAGAGGCAGAAGCAGGGCCAGGGGCGGGCGCGCTTCGTCTGTGTGACCCGCTTCGGCTCGCACCAGTGTGGCAGCGTCTTGCAGCTGGGCGGCCGCCAGTCTCAGGGGGTTTCGTGCCCGGGGCTGGAGGCACACGACAACAACGAGGAGGAGCCGCTGCCACCGGAAGCCGCGGTGGCGGCCCCAGCGGCCCCGGGCCTGGGCGCTGAGGCCTCCACCTCCTCCCAGGGGCCGGCGCTGCGAGTGCGGAGGAGCCGCGGGCCGCCGGCGCGTGCAGGTGGCCGGGGCGTCGGGGCGGGGCGGGGCGGCCACCTTGTCCCGGCGTCTGAGGGCCCAGGGCGGCCCTGGTGTCGGTGGCTTCTCAGGCCGCGGGTGAGCGGTCGGTCTGGTCAGCCGGCCAGGCCGAGGCTGCCCGTCCGTCTGTGAGGAGGCCGTAGGCTGGGGGTGGCCGGAAAAGCCCTTAATTCACTTGCAAGGCTGCTCTGCAAAATGGCGGCCGCGGTAGAGACGAGGGTCCTGCAAGGCGACGTGATGGAGCGGAAGCCACTGAGGGCCGCCAGGGTTTTGAGGCCCTGGCTGCTCTTGGCTCCTTTGAAATTGTTCAGCAGGGGCGACTGGCATGCGCAGGGCGTTGTCAGCCCGTGTGAAAGCAGCCAGTGCCTTTCCACTTCTCCTGTCTGCTTTGGTGTCATTCAGGAAGGCTTTCAGGAAGACTTGTCTCCTTATAGAGTTTACCAGATTACTAAGTTTATTTCTATGAATTTGATCTATTTTTGCTGTTGTCCATAAGGGTTCCTGGTCCGTGATGCCCTCTGTGTACGGAAAGCGTGTTGCTCAAAAAGATGAATAAGTTAAAATCAGTTTTGTTTAAGATTACATTGTGCACGGGGCCTGCACTGTAGTGCGGTGGGTTAAAGCCCTGGCCTGCAGCACCAACATCCCATAGGAGCACTGGTTCAAGTCCGGGCTGCTCCACTTCTGCTCTGGCTCTCTGCTATGGCCTGGAAAAGCAGTGGAAGGTGGCCCAACCTTGGGTCCCTGCACCCTCTTGGGAGACCTGGAAGATGCTCCTGGCTCCTGGCTTTGGATCTACTCAGCTCTGGCTGTTGCAGCCATTTGGGGAGTGAACCAGTGGATGGAAGACCAATTCTCTCTCTCTCTCTGTCTCTCTCTCTGTAACTCTTCTTTCAAATAAATAAATCTTAAAAAAAAAAAAAAAAAGATTACAATGTGCAGCTGGTTAAGCTACTGCCTATAATGTAGAGTCCCTGCCACTCCACTTCCCATCCAGCTTCCTGTTAAGGTGCCAAGTGCTTGGCTCTCTGTCCCCCAGGTGAGAGACCCCGCTGGAGTTAGTGGCTCCTGGCTGCAGCCTGGGGCCATGTGATGAGTGAACCAGCAAATGGAAGAGCTCTGTCTTTGTCTTTCTCGCTGCTCCCTACACTCTCTTGCTCTGTTACTCCGCCTTTCAAATAAATCTGAAAAAATATGTATGTTTTGAGAATGCTTGACAGATTTACATGTTCTAGTCACTACCCGCACGTCGTGATGTGGAGCATTCCCCTCACCTTAGGGGCTCTTGACTCTCTTTGAGAGCCCTTTCCTCTACTTGCACCATTTTTTTTAAACAGGTTAACTGAGATATCATTCACAATGCATGCAGTTCAACCACTTAAAGGACACAATTTTGTAGTTTTTGCCTATTCACAGAATTGTGTAGCCATCACTGTAATCTATTTTAGAATCCTGTACTGATTTAGCAGTCATGCACCATTCCCTCTCACTTCCACTAACCCCAAATTCCAGCCCTGAACTAGCACTTGCCTACTTTGTGTCTCCATAGATTTTCTTTCTTTGAAGATTTCATTTAAATGGAATTATCCAATGTGCAGGCTTTTGTAAATTCTGTCACTTGGCCTATTGAGTTTCATGTGTTACTTTTAGATCCTATAAATTCACCAAATTATCTTGTTATTAGAATTTTATCCTTGATTCTCATAATTTTCCAGGCACATTTTATTTATAAAAGATCATTTTATTTCTCTTTATCCATTCTTAGGTCTACAATAGATTTATTTTACATAATTGTGTTAGATAATGATGAGTACAAGAATGAACAGTATTGGAGATAGTGGACATCCTTACTTTGTTCTTCTTGATTTTAGTGGAAATGCCTCTACTGTTGCCCTATTAAATAACATATTGGCTTTGGAACCAAAACATGTATTTATTTGAACTATTAAAAAAATTCCTCAATATTAAAATTATTTATTTTTTCGTCATGAGCCAGTGTTGAATTTTGTCACAAGCTTTCTCAGCTCTATGAAGATGATCCTATTTTTTCCTCAGATGTATTAATATGTAATATGATATAAATGAATTTCCTGGTATCAGGTCAACATTGCATTCTTGATATACTATTTTTAATATGTTGTTGGGCTTTGTTTGCTAATAATTTGGTTAGATATTTTGGATGAGATACTGCTCTGTAGTTTTCCTTTCTTTATGCTTGTTCACCTGGCTTAGGTATAAGGGTTATTCTTTATAAAAATATTTACGGATTTTTTTCCTTGTGTTTCAATACTCTGGAATAACTTATGGAACACTGGAAAGCCTGGTAAAATTCTTATATGAAACAATTTGGTCTAATACTTTTTGTGGGATAATTCCTTGAAAACTTTTTTCTATCTTCTATGGAAATTGGTCTGTAAATTCTGATGGGTCAGTTTTGGTAATCTGTGTTTCCTCAGGCAATTATCTATTTTATCTTATCCATTTCATCTAAGTTTAATGTATTTGCATAGAGACCTGAAAGTAGTGACTTAAGCTTTTAACAAATTTTCTTGTGTTTAATGGTTGTTTTCTTCCTTGTCATTTTTATTAATTTATCTGTGCTTTCTCACTTTTCCTTGATCAAATCAGACAATATTTTGCTCATTTTGTTAATTTAAACAAAACCAAGATTTTGATTGATTTAAAATTTATTTATTTATTTGAAATGTGGTGAGAAGAAAGGCCTAAATGCTTCTCCCCTAAATGCCCACAACAGCCAGGTCTGGGCAAGGCTGAGAGAGAGATAGAGACCCTCTGCTGGTGTGCTTTCCAAGTGCTGGCAGTAGCTGTGGCTGGGCCAGGCTAAAGCTAGGAGCTGGGCACTCAATCCAGATCTCCCATGCAGAGCGGGAACCCACTTACTTGAGCAATTGCCACTGCCTTCCTGAGTCTGCATTAGCAGGAAACTAGAATCAGGAGCCAGAGGAGCACTTGGGCCATCCTCCACTGCTTTCCCAGGCCATAGCAGAGAGCTAGATCGGAAGTGGAGCAGCTGGGACTCGAACCAGCGCTCATATGGGATGCTGGCACTGTAGGCAGGGGCCTAGCCCACTATGCCACAGTGCCAGCCCCATGAATTAACTTTTCACCACTACTTGAAGTAAATCTCATGGATTCTGATATGTAGTGTTTTTATTATCACTATCTGTTTTAAAATTCTGTAATTTTCAGTGTGGCAACTGGCGTTGCTTAGCAGATTTACATTTTTTACATTTCCAAGGTTTTTCTACTTTTGTTTTTGCTGATAAACTCTAGTCCCACTGTGTTGTGACCAGAAAGTGTTGAATGTGTCTGCTTTATAGATTACTGGTGTTTTCTTTGTGACCTAATTTACAGCCCTTCCTTTTTCTTTTCCTCCTCCAGAAACCATGCCATTGGAAGACTGTCCCTTTAAATCTTGATTGCCTCCTTTAAACTGAGTTTTTCCCACCAGATTGCATGCTTGCTACATGTGGTGTCTGGTCCTTTAAATTGCATACTGAAATATCTACCCTGTCATCTGTGCTCTGACCTTCCTGGTTATTGTCTAGTATCTGCAGATTGAGGGTGAGTTTAATCTGTCTTTGTAGCCAGATCAGAGGCCAGAGACTGGTTACAAGGAATTGCAGCAGTCCAGAGGAAAGACAAAGTAAGGCACTGGCAGTGGAGGCAGAATGGGCAGGATCACACAACTACGTGAAGGAGAGAAGGAGGAGTTGATATCAGGTCTGAAGTCTCTGTGTTGGGCAGCTGGGGGAATGGTGGAGACATTGACTTCAATGCTTGTGAAATCAGGAATACACACACACAGTCAAGTGAAGGGGGTTCTGGGAAGGACATTTGAATCAAGCCCAAAATTTCCTTTGTCCTTAGATTTTATGCAGTTTTGAATATTTTTAATGTAGATATTCATTACATACTTATGCCTGGCTTTCTTTGGGGAACAAAGGTGAATTATCCGTCCAACAGTGTTCATTTAACATGCACCACATTGTGAGTACTACAGCAGATGCTGGCCACCCAAATGTATCAGACAAATATTCTGTTCTCAGGGGGGTGTATATGTGAATAATGGGGATATAAGCTTGTCGGGAGAGTCTTGTAAGAGAGACTTGAGGAAGGGCTTTGATAATCAAGTTCAGAGAAAGAAGCGTAGAGGCAGGAAACCAGGGGACGTGAGGAGAGAGAGGGCTGGTAGAACAACAGAGATCATCAAGGGCATCGGCTGTGAAAGCATAAAGACATTATCTTGGCTCTGTCATCTATTAGCATGCAGTGTGGACTGTGGACCATGTTAGTTAACTGCTCTGATCCTCAATTTCCTTATCTATAAAATGAGACTAGTACTTCCTACCCTGAAGGGTTTCTGTGAAGATTAAATGAAGCAGTGCATGCAGAGCCTAACACAGTGTTTGGCACATTGGGTAGAGGTTTTGTTGTTGTTGTTGTTGTTGTTTTAATTTAAGGCTTGAAAGGTAGATTGAAGTCATCAGAGATAAGTTCACTTCTGGAAGATAAACTCATAAGCTGTTTGTAAGATGTACTGGAATTTAGATATCCAGGAGCAAGTCTGAGTGATGAGGCTGGCGTCCTGCCCTCATGGAACTTGGGAGATTTAGTCATAATTTATGTAAAATATAGGGTGATGAATGCTATCGTGGAGGTACAAATGGATGCTTTGGAAGTGGTGAGTAAGTTGGAGATGAGAGAATCAGGGAAGGTTTCCTAGTGGTAGAATCACAATAAGATTTATATATGGGCTAAGGCAGGAGGGAATTCTAGCTGAGCAAAACGTCTGAGCAGAGCACAGCGCATGGATCAGGGATAGACAGTGGTGAGGGAGGAACTAGAAGTACTGTTGGACTTGGTCAGCGTGTGTGGAAAGAGGGCTAGAGAAAAAAATGTGTCAGGACCAAATATGCTAGAACTAGTGTCAGTGAAGAAGTGGAAAAAACAATCTAGTTTTTTTTCTTTTTCATATTCTCTATACTTCTTGACAGATTTTAGATCTCTAAGTAATTAAAAGTAGACTTGATGGCTCTTATTTTATCCTTAAGGAATACAGGTCCAGGTTAGGTAAGATTTAAAAACAGCATTTGGGAATGATGCAAGTACAGTTAGCATTTCCATGGTTGTCCATATTTAGAGGGAAGGAAGCATCCGGGTAAAAGGAGATGAGGGTTTCCTAAACTTGTTTTCTTATGTCGTATCTGTGTATCATCTGTATTGACATTTACTTCATACATTTATTTAAATAGGTGCATTTTCTCTCTTAACTGAACTTCTTCTAAGAGTACTTTACATCATTACCTCAGTGGAAAATCTCTACCATTTGCCATAAATAGAAATAAGCCAAATCTAATAAAGGAAAAACAGTATTATTACATTCTAGCTAAATACGTTGTCTGCAGAAGAGTGTCTGCATCCAGAAAGGGAGATTAGCGTCTCGGGGAAGTCTAAATGATACAGTGGTACCATACTCACATCTTCTCCTTGACGCAATCAGAAGATTAAAAAGAATAGGCCAAGGAAGGAGTTTCTTACCATGTGAGTTTCTTACCCTGTGTTCCTTTAGTGCTAGGTCTGTACCTCACCGAGAATCAGTGGCACGCTTCTCACAAATTGGAAAATTCCATTTTAGAGCATATTCTAGTTCATTTGGCAGGGGAAACAACCCACGGTGCATATAATATCTATAGAATTAAACAGAGGACCTCTAGTGAAAAAAAACTTGTACTCCAGGGCTGGCACTGTGGTATAATGGATAAAGCTGCCACCTGTGACGCTGGGATCTCATGTGTCCCGGCTGCTCCCCTTCCGATCCAGCTCCCTGCTGATGGCCTGGGAAAGCAAGAGAAGATCCCAAGTGCTTGAGCCCCTGCCACCCACAAGGGAGACCTGGATGAAGCTCCTGGCTCCTGGCTTCAGCCTGGCCCAATCCTGGTCCTTGTGGCTATTTGAGGAGTGAACCAGCAATTGGAAGATCTATCTCTGTGTCTCTCCCTACCTCTCTCTGTGTAACTCTTTCAAAATAAATAAATCTTTAAAAAAAAAAGAAATCATAAATCATACTCCTCAAGTGAACAATGTGATAAATCCTATCACTGAGCATAGGATCCTTTTTGAGATCAGAGAAGGCTCCCTGGAAAGCTAACTACTGAAGAATGGAAGAAAGCCAATTGTATGGTGGTCACAGGGCAGAAAAGAGGTGGGGAAGGGCTGAGTTGGGGAGTGTTCCAGACACAAGGAGATGAAGTGTATAGGCTTTCAGGGAATGCACGCTCATTGTTTTATAATTTTGTCTTTGGACTTGAAAACCCTTACAGTTTTTTTTTTTTTTTTAAACATCACACAATTGTCTCTTAGGTCTGTCTCTGTGTCTCTGTCTTCCTTTAAAAAAGATTTATTTATCTATTTGAAAAACAGTTACAGAACAAGTTAGCGAAAGAAATCTTTCATCTGCTGATTCACTCTCCAAATAGCCACAACAGCCAGGGCTGGGCCAGGCTGAAGCCAGGAGCAGCCATTGGGAAGGCATTGAAGGCAGTGGCTCACCCTGCTGCGGCACGAGCCCGGCCGTCTAACCCTTATAAAGCAGCATGGTTTAGTGAGTAGAGTCAGGAAATTTATTCACTCTAAAAACCTTTATTAGTACTAAGGTGTGTCTGGTAGTAGTGTCAATAGGACATAGATGGCCATTGCCCACCAGGTCATAGCTTAGGAGAGGAGACACGTTATGAACACATGATGTAAGCATGTGCCAAGTGTTGGGAAGAAAGTGTTCCACGAGTCAGTGCTTGCTGTATGTGCTTGAAGGAAGACGTTGCAGAGGAGCTGACATGTGAGCTGTCCTTTTCTCTGTGTGTGTGTGTGTGTGTTTTTTTTTTTTTTTTTTTTGACAGGCAGAGTGGATAGTGAGAGAGAGAGACAGAGAGAAAGGTCTTCCTTTTGCCGTTGGTTCACCCTCCAATGGCCACTGCGGCCGGTGCACTGATCCGAAGGCAGGACCCAGGTGCTTCTCCTGGTCTCCCATGGGGTGCAGGGCCCAAGCACTTGGGCCATCCTCCACTGCCTTCCTGGGCCACAGCAGAGAGCTGGCCTGGAAGAGGGGCAACCGGGAAAGAATCCGGCGCCCCGATCGGGACTAGAACCCTGTGTGCCGGCGCCGCTAGGTGGAGGATTAGCCTATTGAGCCGCGGTGCCGGCTATTCTGTTTGTTTTTTCAAATGAGCTGGTGTTGAACAAATGGAGAATTTCCTGACAGTGTACAGGTGTATGTATGGATCCGGACACACGTAATGTTGTAGCATGTGCAGAGGCTGCCAGGCTAATAAAGGAGGGCACTTCAAAAAGCTAGTGGAAAATAGAATTAAGAGATAAAATCATGTGAGCAAAAAAAATTTTGAAATCCATACACTGTTTCCCCATGATAAACATTTTCCATGAACCTGAAGAATCTAGTATATGCATAACTACCAGGTGTTTTGTGTAGTTCAAAGTATAATAATATATTTGGAGAAAAGTGATATATATATATATATATATAGAGAGAGAGAGAGAGAGAGAGAGAGAGAGAGAGAAAACTGGAGACTACAGAGCTACCCTGGGCCAATATGTGGTTTCTGGCATTTATTTGTTACTCTGTTGCTGACTTTTTGGAACTCACAAATTAGAAAAGAGACTGAACTAGGTGGATGATTTCCTGGGTACTTAAAATGTTGTTTGTCTCTAGTTTTCTTGGTTGTTTTCAGAATATTAGCTAATTGGTAAACAAGTCTTACCTAGACTTCAGAAAAACACCAAGTGTAAAATCCTGAAAGAGAATTCAAGAGCCATTTCTACCGTCTTTATTCTCAGTGTAGTAAATCCTTAAAAAATACATGCTGTTGATATTTCACCATTTCACTCCATTTTTTAAAAATTAGGTTTAATCCGGAAGGATGCAGATGGAAAGTTCGATTTCCCCATACCATTGAATGAAGCTTCCAAAATCCTGAAGAAAAAGAAAAAGGTATACTGTTGTCAAGTGAGCAGTGTTTGAGTTTTAGATCATCCTCTCTAAATACAAATGTGTGAAAATATTCAAGACAGTGGAAGTAGCTGTATCTTTTGAATAATTTAATCTTCTAAAGTGAGGAAGCAGAAGTAATGTAGTAGAAATCCATCTGGTTTTGGAAGTATTTATTAACCATAAAGAATGATCTTTTCAATGTTTAAAGTTATCAAATTTTTTAAATCAAAATGTAACCCACTGGGAGATTTTGAAAAGTATATATATCATCCACAGACTATAACAAATTGTGATAGATAATGTAGTTTAGGAAGAAAATAATGGATTTCATAGAAAAGAATCATGTATCTATATTGCTGTAATGTTGCTTTTTTTGAAAGACAAAGAATGCATATTAAGTTTCTGGTAGGAAATCTGACAAAGATGAACCTTTATTGCCGAAACATTCTCACCACTGGTTATCCAAGTGTCATGGTAACTTGAGTGTTTTAAACATATTAAAGTTATATGTTTACTAATTTTTAATTGACACCATATATTTTATACTTTAAAGAAATTGTTAATTGATAATAACACAAAAATTATGGTATTTCTGAGCTTGGAGTTTTTTTTTTACTTTATTAAAATACTGAGTTTGTTTCACATGTATATTTGTCTCCCCGCCATTTCTATAACTGACCACTGATGCTTCTGTGTCCTATCGTTATAGTCCATACATACTTAAAACCAAGCGAAGGGTAGAGTTCCATTTTTAAAAACTAGACAAGCATTTTGGACAACACATTCTTGGCAATGGAACCTGAACAACAGTTATCAAACACGGTAGGAAAAGTTCTCACTCTGCATTATAAAAAGGACAGCCAGATATCAACTGTTACAGAAATGGAATAAGACCGAAAATTTTAACAAAACATTTAAACTATTTTCTTAATGAGACTTCCTCCACTCCCAAAGATCTTGAATAGCCTCCTAGTCAGACATCCGGAAGCAGTACTTCACATAATCGATGAATTTGGCTTCCACTTCCGGAAGAGAACCACCTTTTTCTATACTTGCTTGCATTTTTGCTTCAGTGTCTTATCCAGAACCAGATCCTTTTGGTGTTTTAGGAGGTTTTTTTTTTTTTTTTTTCTGTTTTTTGAAGGGTTCTTGACCTTTTGATCTTAGTGTTGATGGTTTTGAGTCTTTCCCATTCTGGTTTGATTTTTGTACATTTTTGGCTGGGGTAGCTCATATAGATTTCTTCAATGGAGCTTTTTCTTCGGTTTCCTCATCATCTTCATCATCATCATCATCTCCATCATCTCTATCAGCAGCAAGCTTTACTTTTTTCTGTGGTACCTTGCTGCCGCCTCTGGGGCAGACCGCTTTGCAGGTACACTTAATACTTCACATCCTCTTCCTATTCGCCTTCTGACTCTGCATCTTCCTCCACACCTACTGAGTGCTGTCCACTAATATGCACAGGCCCTGAACCACACTTCAACCTTACGACCACAGGTGGTGGTATTTCAAAGCCCCCAACGGAACCGTTGGCTGTCCATTTTCAAAGTTGCCAGTGTTACTTGAATTGGACTGCCTTCCTCATTGGTTGTCTCTGCTTCAGCAATGTGCAGTTCATCCTTTGCCCCAGCGCCTAAACTGGCTGTCCTTAAAGATAACTCGTGCTCAGTTTCATTTGTCCACTTCAGAGTGATACTCTTTGTCGGCCTTTAGTTCACAACCAAAAAGATAGTTCTGGGGCCTCAGTGGGGCTCATGTCCACATCTATCGAACCTTCCATGAAGTGGAGGGACAAACTTAGGTGGGAGAGAATGCAGATGGAGATAAGACGCCCACTGCTGCAAAGAACAGCCACACAGGATGGAATCACACCAGGAGGAGGTTGTTTGATTTATAATTCATGTATATTGAAAAATAGCAACCCAAAGTGACTAACCTTGTACTGAATGTATTTTGAGTGAGTATGTAATTTTCCTGCTGAACTAAGAAATATTTCTACCAAGAGCTTTTGGGCAGGGAGAAAAGAGGATTAGCCAGTATTTACTTTTAACCACATTGTACCAGGCACTGGAATTAGTACTTTGTGTACATATTTTTCAGTAATTCTAATAACCTAGTGTTTTAAGCCATTCCTAGTGAAGAATAAAATATTTTCCCAATGTCAAATAAAAGTAGCAAGGCTAGTGTTTGAGTCTAGATCTATCTGTTTGGAGTCATAGTCCTCATTTTTTTCAATTCTTGTGTATTCATGCTCTCTGGTAATTGTGCCAAATTATGTCCTAGGAGAACTATCTAATTTTTAACTGGAATAAAATACATTAAAAAAATCAAATCATTGCCCAGTGGTTTAGATATAGGAAGAAATTTGCCATTTTTATTACCTTTGGTAATTGAATGTGTTGGAACCATTTAAGTAGGAATTGCTTGACATTGCTGTCTAAGGAAAGCTCATCCAGGACGGATTCTTTAAATCCTATAGAGAGGAAATTCTAAGAAGCTGGAAGTAAAGATCAGAGATTTCAGTGATTCTGGGGAAACAATTACATTTTAGCTTTAGACCTCTAAGTACTGATATTGCTTTATAGTAATTATATCCATGGACATGTGTTACAGTTGACTCACTCCTAATTGCCTCTATCAAAATATATTCCTTCTTCTCTGTTCAGCATTCCTTAATTATGCTTATCTTTTTAAGGTTTCAGTATGGAATAGCGTATACAAGGTCATTTCCAAAATGCTTGAAGAAAATGAAAAATATAGACTTAGGCTAAAATGCCAAAAATTATCTAATGCAAGTAAGTAAACACAGTTTTTGATGTATTAAAGGGGACTGGCTTTTGTAACAGTTTAGTTATCCTTGAATCATGTTAGACTGGTAGTTTTCTTGCCACATGCAATGTACTTAACTTCTGTGGTTTGGATATTAGTTTGGATATTGAATGGTACCTAAGTTCCATGTGTTAAATGCCACCCAGAGTCTTAGGTTAATTATCTGAGATGGTAGAAACTTAATCTGGGGCCGGTGCTGTGGTGCAGTGGGTTAACGCCCTGGCCTATAGCACCGGCATCCCATGTGGGTGCTGGTTCGAGTCCCAGATGCTCCACTTCCTATCTAGCTCTCTACTATGGCCTGGGAAAGCAGTAGAAGATGGCCCAAGTCCTTGGGCCCCTGCACCCACATGGGAGACCTGGAAGAAGCTCCTGGCTCCTGGCTTCGGATCAGTACAGCTCCGTCCATTGCGGCCAGTTGGGAAGTGAACCAGCAGATGGAAAACCTTTCTCTCTCTCCCTCTGCCTCTCCTCTCTCTGTGTAACTCTGACTTTCAAATAAATAAATACATCTTTAAAAAAAAAAGAAACAACCTAATTTTGATGTTTGAAGTGGAGATTTTTAGAGGTGATTGGATTGGATTGGGTCCTTCAGATGGGTTCACCATGATGAAACCATGTAGACAGATAGACTCAGGTCCCTCTTGTCAGGTGGTGCTCCACGCTGCTTTGGGACTCTGACAGTGAAAAGGCCATCACAGAGAACAAACCAGTGAGGTCTTCCTAATCTTGGACTGTGACTCTCCAAAACTATGAGCTGGAACTAGCTTGTCTTAGGATTTCATTGTACAAACAGAAAATTGAATAATACAAGAACTATAGACATGAGATTACCATGTTCTTATTACTCATCATAACTAAAGGTATGGAATATATTCAAGTAAGAATATAGAGTAGACCACAGGTGTAGAATGAGTGGAGGAGTGCAGGAGGTTACTGAACAAAGGAACACACTGTTAAGTGTGAATCTTAATGCCAACTGTTAATAAAAATTACAAAACTCACCCATATGAATTAAAAATTTTAATGACAATATAAAATTATACATTCTGTGTCACTGGATTCATGTGGTCATTTCCTCTCTATGAATACTGCAATCCAGTTTAATGCATTTAACAGAATTTGTCCTTGAGGTATGATCTTGATGTCATTATTTTATTACTGTAAAACAACTCATGTTTTAAACTACTTTAAAGCTGCATCAATACTGAACTGATATTGTGGTCAGAGCAAAATTAGTTGTAATCTACTATGCAAATTAAAATAATTGGAAGTTCTGAATTTTCAAAAAATTAAGTTGACTAAAATTTATGTAACTAATAATGGCATATGAATTTACAAATCAAAAGTTACTTCTTTCCTTTGCATGCATGTCCTAATATACATTCTGTCTTGAGGAATGCTTTGTGGGTTCTGAGTACAGTTACTTGTGACACCTATTTGACAGTCAGTACACCTGCAGTATTTAATTTTGTGAGGAATATTTTCATAAGATAGTCATTAAAACAGAATACCATCTTGCAAAAGTGTAACATTCGAAATTTATTACTGCTTAACGAGTATAGTATTGCGTCAATAGTACTATAAATTGTCTGCAAAAATGACAAATGCTAGCATATAAATCACACTCAGGTAAGTGATCTTCTATTTAACTTACCTAGTTAAGAAGAAGGATGAAGCAGGAGCAGGGGTTAGAATGAAGAAAAATAATCACAGAATCACAGATTTTTTTTTAAGGTTTTTTTTTTTTTTTCTTATTTGAAAAGCAGAGTAACAGAGGGAAAGACACAGAGAGATAAGAGATCTTCCATCTGCTGGTTCACTCCTCAGATGGCCATGGTGGTGGGTCACCTGGGTCTTCCACTTAGGTGGCAAGGACTCAAGTACTAGGGCCCTCTTCTGCTTTCCCAGGCACAGTAGCAGGGAGCTGGATGGCAAGCTGAGTGGCTGGGTCTCTAACCAGTACTCGGATTTGGGATGCCAGTGTGGCAGGCTTCATCTTAACCTGCGGTGCCACAAAGCCAGCCCCAGTCACAGCTTTCTTAAAAGGATGTTTAGATAAGTAATGTGTAAAACGCCTTGTCATTGTTCTGAGTTCTAATCCAGAGCACTGTATAACCTTGAATTTGTCAGGTTCTTTTGTGACTCAGAGGTCTTTTACTAAACATACAGTCATTTTGTAAGGATTATTTAATAACTTAGAATAATATACTGTGTTTTTTCAGAAATAGCTCATAAGCAAAAGTTCCCTTGTAATTCATTTTTTGCATTGTAATTTTAAACTAGATTGCAAAAACTTTTTGAAAAAGCTAATAATTGTACTTTAAAAATGTGGGTTTTTTTATTCCTTAATATGTGTGTAGTAATGAGAAAAACAGTGCTAACAGCCAACTTGAATTTTCCTTATATTTTGTGTTCCTAGGCTGACAAAATATGATGAATCTTCTTATCATCTTCTGGTAAGAATCCCTTTAGATAATAAAATTGAGGTTTTTTTTCCCCCTTCCTTTTTCTATCCTACCTTCTTCAGCCTTTAGTGTGTACCAGTTTTAGCCTGTTTCCTTCCTCAAGTTCACTGTCTGGCACATATTAGTTAGATGACAGTTATTTGCTGACATTTAAGACTTCATTTGTTTTATTTATTTATTTAGACAGGCAGAGTGGACAGTGAGAGAGGTAGAGACAGAGAGAGAAAGGTCTTCCTTTTTGCCATTGGTTCACCCTCCAATGGCCGCCGCGGCTGGCGCACTGTGCTGATCCGAAGGCAGGAGCCAGGTGCTTCTGGTCTCCCATGGGGTGCAGGGCCCAAGCACTTGGGCCATCCTCCACTGCATTCCTGGCCACAGCAGAGAGCTGGCCTGGAAGTGGGGCAACCGGGACAGAATCCGGTGCTCCGACCGGGACTAGAACCTGGTATGCCGGCGCCGCAGGCAGAGGATTAGCGTATTGAGCCGAGGCGCCGGCAGAGACTTCGTTTAAACCTCATCCCTGTTGGGCTGTTGAAACTACTCTCTCTATGGTCCGGGTTTTTCCTCTTCCATTTCCTCTTTCTCCTCCTCTTCAGCTCCCTGCACTCCCTCCTCCTCCTCTCCACTAAGTTCTCTTTCTCTTTGAACATGCTGTCACATTTAGCACGAATTACCACTGCTCCTGTAACTTCATTTTCTCTTTCAGTGTCTTGCACACTGTGATATGGTCTTGTTCTGCCTCTCTGACCATATTTTCTGTATATTTTTAATCTGTCCTGTTTGCTGCCACCTAATAACAAATGCCATCCTAGGATGTTTACATCTGTTTACATATTTACACAGATATTTTAGCTTCAGTTACTCTCTCCAGGTGTATGATCCTTAAATCTCTATTCAATCCCTGATCTCTTGTCACGTGCTTTTGCTTTTTCTTTAGGCTGTTTTTATAGTTACTTTCTAATGCCGCGTGCTTTAAATTGAGCATATTATCTTTCCCTGTTCTTTTCAATTGTGCCTCAAATTTACTGATTACCTGGGCTTATTCAGCTTTAAGGGAGAGATTACATTCAGCTTGGTGAGATCTGGAAAGTAATAGTGAATAAGGTAGGCCTTGGGAAAGAGAAATTAGACTTTTGTAAGTCAAAGTGTAAGGAGGAAAGTATATTTTAGACATAAACATGAGCAAATTCATGGATTCCATGAAAGTGTTTAGGGAATGTATGATTTGATTAGAGATTGTTTAAGATTGATTGAATACAGGCATACAGGTATACTGAGGCTGTATTTCAAAGGTCTCAGCTAAATGCTGGGCCAAGGGTTTGTACTAGATTCAGCAAGCTATGAAGAAATATGGAGCATTTTCTCATTTTTTTATTCTGGTGGTTTAAAGTGGACAGAAATGTTGTAAAAATAATACAAAGTACTCCAGTGTACCTTTACCGAGATTCAGTGATGTTTAGCATCTTGTCACATTTGCTTCCTCTTTTCATTCTCTCTTTCCCTGTGTGTACCAAGTATTTCCAATAACACTTTACTGTGTGGCCACAGAACACCAGTATCTTTTATATAATCCACTGCAGTTATCAAATTCTGGAAATTTAACATTGACTTAAAAATTTCATGTAATTTATTTATACTTCAGTTTCTTCCCATTATCTCAGTATTTTAATGGGATATTTTCTCTGGTACCAGATCCTTTGGTTTTCTCAAATGTGTAATAATTGTTCAGCCTTTCTTTGTGTTTTCACAATACTGACATTTTGAAAGAATGCTGGCCTGTTGGTTTTCAGACCGTTCCTCTGGACTGACTGGTACCTTCTCATGCTTTGACTCATGTTAAGCTTTTTGGTTGGAACATTGTACAAAGAATACTTCCTTTTTAGAGTATCATATCTGGAGCCTTGTAATCTTCTTTGATCCATTTTCGATAATGTTAACTTGTTCATTTATAAAAGTTACTACTTTTCCTTTTTTTTTTTTTATTTTTTTGACAGGCAGAGTGGACAGTGAGAGAGAGAGAGACAGAGAGAAAGGTCTTCCTTTGCCGTTGGTTCACCCTACAATGGCCGCCTTGGCTGGCGCTTCGTGCTGATCCGAAGGCAGGAGCCAGGTGCTTCTCCTGGTCTCCCATGGGGTGCAGGGCCCAAGCACTTGGGCCATCCTCCACTGCACTCCCGGGCCACAGCAGAGAGCTGGCCTGGAAGAGGGACAACCGGGACAGAATCCGGAGCCCCGACCGGGACTAGAACCCGGTGTGCCGGCGCCACAAGGCGGAGGATTAGCCTAGTGAGCCGCGGCGCCGGCCCTACTTTTCCTTTCTTAATAAAGATTTTATGGAGAGATAATAAGAGACTATGCAAATATCCCGTTCATCAATATCTAGAACATTTTGAAGAACTAGCACTATAAAATCTGCATTTTAGAAAGACTCATCTGGTTTGTGGAAAGGTTTGGAGTGGAGTTGAAATAGGAGATAAAAAACAAAATCTGGGGGTTGTAATAGCAGTCCAAGTAAAGAGTGAAATGCGAGCACAGAGGTCAGAGAGGAGACTGCTGATGACGAGTAGTGGATGAGAAAGATGACGTTGAGTTCTGAGAATGAGGAAATAAGAAATAAAGAACTCAGGAGAGGGTCTGTGTTGTGGCACAGTGGGTTAAGCTGCTGCTTGCAACGCCAGTTTCCTGGCTGGGCACTGGTTCCTGTTCCAACTGCTCCACTGCTGATCCAGCTCCCTGCTAATACTCCTAGGAAAGCAGTGGGTTATGGCCTAAGTTTTTGGGCCTCTGCCTCTCATATGGGAGACCTGGATGGAGTTCCAGGCTCCTGGCCTCTGCATGGCTCAACCTCAGCCACTGTGGCCATTTGGGGAGTGAATTGGCAGATGGAAGATCTCTCTCTCTCTGTCTCTGTCTTTGTAATTCTGCCTTTCTAGTAAATAAATAAATCTTTTAAAATTTAATTTTAATTAATTTTTAAGAGATTTAATATAATTTGTAGATACAAGTCTAAGAACAATGATATTCCCTTCCTCCATCCCTGCCACCCTCCTTCCTTCTACTTTTTTTTTAGTTTTTGAGATAACATTTTAAAATTGCATTACAGTAAAAAGGCTTCCTACTTCATAGAATAAGAAGTTTAACAAGTTAAAAGCAAAAAGATTCTAGTTTAGTGAGACTATAGACAATGGCTACAAACAATAATTGAATGTATAAATGACCATTTCACCCATATAGAATTTTTTTGTTAATTAGTCATTCATAATTTCTTTCAATGAAATAGAGCCAATGACAATGTAACGGCTATATATTTCCTGTGTGGTTACAACATAATTAAATAAATCTTTAAAAGAAGAAGAAGAGCTCATTTTATAAAGGTACTAAGTTTATATTTGACATGCTGAATATTAGGTGATAGTGAGGTACCTAGGTAAAAATTCCATGCAAGCAATGGGAAGTACTGTATTGGAGCTGGAATGCTAACCTGTAGTGCATGGAGGTCATGTGTCATTCTAACAGCAGCTGTAGATGAAAACCCCAATGTGAGGATGCAGAGAACTGAATGCATAATGTCTAGGGTGAAGAGGAATTTTCAGTTTTAGAGTTGGGATTCCAGGGGCTTAATCACTGGATCAAGACTCATGAGAGAGGCAACTGTAGAGCCACGGAGAGTGGCTAAAGACACTTGCAATTCAGAGAGGGCCAAAGCCTTGCTCAGGGAGAGTGCAGGGGTACACAAGGCAGGAGGACAGAAATATGTCAGCTGGGAATCTTTTAGGAGTTTCAGCACAAGGTCAAAGTGATGAGCGGATCTAAGCAATGACCTTGCTTGTGCGTGACTGCAGTGGCCTAGAGATAAAGGTTGGTGATGTAGTGTTTGTGACACAGTTCTTGTCAGTGCTGCTGCTGAAGTCACTAAGTGTTTTGGTAGAAATTGAAAAGGGAAAAAATACAAGTAACATTGAAAATGAATCTTGATGTGAATGGAATGGGAGAGGGAGCGGGAGATGGGAGGGGTGCAGGTGGGAGGGAAGTTATGGGAGGGAAAAAGCCATTGTAATCCATAAACTGTACTTTGGAAAATTATATTTACTAAATAAAAGTTAAAAAAATACAAGTAACATGTTGAGTCCGTCAGAAGCACTTTATGGTCAGTTGGAGAAAGGAAATGTCATTTAAACACTACATACAGGGAGTGGCCCAACTGTTTTTATCTAGTCTTAGTATGTTAAAAATTTTCAGTGACTACTAAGTATGATACTTTATATTGACAAGATTCATTTTTATCACCTTTTATTTAGGATTAACTGATCTTTGGATTTGTTTCCCAGAGAAGATTATGGAAAGTTTAAGGATGCAATGTTAAATTGAATTATAATTATTTACTACTTTCAGTGTGTTGGAATTTAGACTTTAAAAGTTGTGTGGAAATACTACCTTCTTTATATTAATTGTATTTCTCTTAAAGGTAACAAAAGTTTTAGTTAACAATAATTGTATGCATACCAGTGTTATTTTCAGAATGAATATTTACCCTATATACTTTAAGATTAATTTTATCATTAAAATTAAAATTAGCATATCATTACAATTGTATGCATTTACAATTGCCAACTTTTCCCTGTGTTAGTGAGTCATAACTTCTGCTTTATTCATTCCTCATTTTATTTTAAAATTCTTAAAATTTTATGTTTAATTAATTTATTTGAAAGGCAGGGAGATACAGTGAGAGAGAAAGAAAGGAAAGAAGGAAGGGAGGGAAGAAGAAAGAAAGGCAGGAAGAAAGAAAAAACAAAGAAAATACACGCTCCAGCCTCTGGCTAACTCCATAAATGCCAGGAGCTGGGAAGGCCGGCAGGTCTCCCCTGTGGGTGGCAGGAACCCAATTACTTGAGCCATTACTGCTGCCTTCCAGGGTCCTTTTTAGCAGGAAGTTAGATCCAGGAGCTGGAACTGGGTTTTGAGCCCGGATTCTCTGATTTGGGAAGTGTGTATCTTAACCGCTAAGCTAAATGTCTCTTCCCATCCTTTCATTTAGATGCAACTGTTTTAAATTAAAATTGGATTCATTTAAACTATTTTTGGCTTCCTTTTTCTAAGCTTCTCAATTATTTTATGATGAAAAACTGTAATTTATGCAGCAACAATTATTTTGGGTGTTTAAACTAGTGATTATTTAAATTAAAAATAAGCATTTATAAAATGGATATATTATAATGAACTATATTATAACAAAATATTTTAGGAAAATATTTGGGCCCAAATTGGAGGAGACACCCTTTTCCTTGCCAATCTTCTAATTAATAGATACATTATTTTCAAGTTAATAAATAAAAGATCTGGAACTCTGAATATCATTTAGAAATATTTTCAGTAAAGTTCCTTTATTTTCTACTTAACATTAAATAGTAATCAGCTATTAGTTATGCTGGTTTTTCTGCTTTTTGCTCGTGCACTTTCCCTAAATTTAATCAAAAGCTTGGTGGAACCGGAAATTCGGGGGGAAAGACAGAAAGACTTGCCATGACCACACTCTGTGCACTAGTTGCTTCTCTCCCCTGAGGGGTAGGGCCTTTGCTTTTACATCTGGGGTGTTATGGTGATAACATCTGTTCCTCTTGGGGGCAGTGAGAAGCTGAGTGCCTCACTTCTCTTGTGACGACAGAAGATGCTACCAAGTGGCAATGCACACCATTCTCATGAAATAGTACCTGATTTAAGGACTGCTACATAACTCATAGTTTTATTGTTGGCTATAGTTACAAGTTAATCATCTCATAGGAAAACAACAGCCTAGGTGTTGGGCTAGTGTAGTCTTCCTGCGACTGTTCACCAAATCCATCTGTTTGCAATTGAGGGACACATTACTCAGGATCCACAGTTCCCTCATGTGGAGTGCCAGGCAACATCGTTGGAGTATGCTGGGTAGACTTTCAGGTTGCTGAACCCTTGAGTGAAGAGTTGCATTCTAGCATATACAATTTAAGTCCTTTGCAAAATGAAATCTGTTTATACTATGATCTTTGCTGCATGAAATTTTTTGGTGAATGTAAGGATTCTGTTTGCTTCAATGTGTTTTTGTATTTATGTGACTTATATAACTTGACATCATTAAGTAGTCCGTTTTAATTCATCAGAAAGTCAGTATTTATTAGATTTAAAATATGAATCTAATGCTGGATGCACACTTACTGTTATAAACCACACAATAATGAAGACTCCATTGAAATTAATATTCTAAATACTTTAATCTTTATTTAGTATGTTTTGTTGAAAATGTATTAAATTTCTGCTTCATTAAACACCATATAATAAACATTTTTTGATTTTTCCTTGCTGACTTCTTCCAACTTGTGTTTTGAACTGTGTCATGAGTGTTTCAGGCTTAGCTACCCGGGCTCGGAAGGAGAAGAAAAGGATCTTCCAGTAGTCTGAATGGAAGACTTTGGTGAGTACAGAATAGAGTAGAAACACATCCATACTTCAGAATATTCCAGCTCTCCTGGAGAATTTCAGGTGAGCTTTGGAATTAGAAGGAAAAAAACAATGAGATCTTTTGACACAGAAACTAAAATACAGGGTATTTTCACATCCAGTGTAAACTGAAGGAAAATTAAAATTCAGGGAAAATCTAGGGTAACCTAAGAATCTTTGTGAGTCAGCTTATAAGATAGTAAAGGAACAGTTTTGAGTTTGGGAACAGGTCTATGGCATTAGAGAGGCCGAGAAGCCTGGGTGTGGAAGGGAGCACAGCCCGTGCTCAGCATTTTCTTATGGAGAGAGCGCTTGGCTAGGCCCTGGAATGCAGCTAGAGCAGTGCCCGAGTTCCTAAGTCAGGACCGCATCCCTGACAGCCGTGCAAATGTACTTCTCCAATTTCCTACCCCCATGGGCACAGCTGACTCACCACGCAGCTGTGCCGGGCTGTGAAGCGACTCCTGCATTTGTAGAAGACTATTCTTTGCCACAGGGAACTGCCAGCCAGTGATTAAGCGTGGCAAGCATAATAAGGCAGGCACACTGCTATGAGTCAAGCCGTAAAGGCTGCTCATTTGCCTTGCTGAAGCAGTCATTAAACTGCAGCAGACACGGAGTCTAAGACTTTCCTGCCCGATCATCTTCCCTTCCCTCTTTCCCCTGCAGACAGGCCTTCGTCATGGCGCAGTGGCTCTCCTAGGCTCCCCGGCTCCCTGTCAGTTTTTCCACACAGACATTGCCCTAGAAAATAGCTTGCACCTCTAATTCTGCCCTGGTCCCATCTTCTTAAGGACCCAAACTAACAGAAGTGATGTCAGGAATGGTCCAAGAAAACCAGCAGTGAGATGTGGCACTGGAGTTCGTTAATCATCAACCAACTGGCAAAAAACTGTTTTCCTGAGTGGATTGGAGAGTACCCTGCATGTTGTGATGGTCTTATTTGAAAGATTTCATCAGATATTACTTGGAAAAACTTCCCAGTAGGGGGTAATGCCTTTGCCGTTAGGATGCTACAGGAAAATAATGTCTCCACAGATAGTTGGACAACTACTACTATGTACATTAACACCTTCAGAGAGTATGGTAAGAAGCAGGTGTTCATTAGAAAGCAGATAAAGAAAGGGTGAGTGGGGCCAGTGCTGTGGTGCACTGGGTTTATCTGCTGCCTGCAAGGCCAGCACCCATATGTGCACTGTGTTGAGGCCTGGCTGCTCCACTTCTGATCCAACTCCCTGTTGATGTGCCTGGGAAGGCAGTGGAAGACAACTCAAGTGTCTGGGCTCCTGCCACTCATGTGGGAGACCTGCATGGAGCTCATGGCTTCAGCCTGGTTATTTTATTTATTTGAAAGGCAGAGTTATAGAAATAGAGGGAGAGACAGAGCGCTTCCATATGCTAGTTCACTCTCCAGATGGCCACAATGGCCAGAGCTAGGTCAAACAGGAGGCAGGAGCCTCTTCTGGGTCTCCCACATGGGTGCAGGGGCTCAAGCACTTCAGCCATCTTCCACTGCTTTCCCAGGCCATGAGCAGAGAGCTGGATCAGAAATGGAGTACCTGGGACTCAAATCGGCACCCATTTGGGTTGCTGGTACTGCAGGTGGCGGCTTTACCCACTACACCACAGCACTGGTCCCAGTAAATAAATCTTAAAAAAGAAAAATCATTGTGAGAGCCTCTGGTGATAAAATACCTTTATCTGGTGCAGTGGAAAAGCAGACCTAGCCAAGTGACAGATAGAAGCTGTGATCATGAGAGATGTATGCGTGGAGTCTGCTTATGTCAGGAAAGTCTGCGATGCCAGAATGTATGCTGGCGATACCTGATCGATTCCCCTGCACCATCACAGTTGGCAGAGGTGTCTTGCCCCGTGCCAGAAGGTTCTGTAAGGAGTCCTGTCCCTCTGTAGGTACCTTCATCTGGAGCTGCCCTTACCTCCTCTCCTGGCTACCAAGCCATAGCTAAGGTTAAATCTCAGTCTAACACAACTGGAAAGGAGGGAAGAGATAGCACACAGAAAGAGCTCCAATGATTAGCTAGCATGTATTATCATAAGCAATAGGACTATCATGGACTGGATTTTTTTTTTTTTCCGGGGAAAAGTCTCTCGTCCACAGGGAATGCCTGTGGGTGGAGTTTATTCTTTGCAGAAGCACAGTCCCCGTGGCCCTCCCTTGACTTCAGTCACAGCAAACTGAACAGCTGCTCCCGGCACCGCCGCACGTCCAGCCAAGCCCTGACGTCCAGAGGCCCCAACTCAGTCATTCTCGTCTTCCTCCGACTCTGTCGCTGACTCGGACATGCCCTCTGGCAAGTCGTCTCCCATCTGTTGGAACCTTCCAGACTGCGCATCCCACATGTATGTGATGGTCACCTTGAACTCAGCCATCTCTTACCCAAAAAGCTTCAGGACCCGGGCCTGCTCCGGTGTCAGCACGTCGCCCTCCTTGCAGACCTCATAGTCAGACAGCAGGGTCACCACACCTCTCTTGAGAACAGTGGGCAGGCCCAGCTGCCTCAGCTGTGGCTCCATGGAATGGGGGAACTGCTCCAGCGGCCCTGGGTCCAGGTTCACAGTGAAAGTGGCTTTGTTCCCAGCTCGCGCGTAGTCCATTTCCGCATACTTTGTGAACCACTCATTCACCTCCTCCTTGGTGCGGTCTGTGAAAAGGAGGCCGACTTCACCTGCAACTTCTTGCTGACCTGATGCAGGTTATCTTTGTACTTATCAGCCGGGCTCCGACCCAAAGCCACCATCATCACCTTGTTTTTGCCAAAGAACATCCGGCTGTGCTTCCAGGCGTTCCGGATGTCTTTCAGCTTGTTGTTCCTCATGTTGGCCACGGAGAAGAGGAACAGGTACTTGTACGTGTCCATGCATTTCCGCAGCTTTTCTATCAGGTTCTGTTTCAGCTCCAGGCCCTTCTTGGCAGTTTTGGTTAAGGACACTTTCTTGTCCCACTTGGACTTGGGCATCGCGCTGGAGCCACGTGCGGCTGAAAGTGGTCCATGGACTGGATTTTAAGTGTGCTTGATCAAAGGGGTTAAAATATGAGACTGTTGATAATGAGCCAAGGACTGGGGGCACGTTCTTGGAACTCCTAAGATTATGGAATTATCAGTTCTGAGTCCATATGGATACTCCAAACCATAAGCATCTTCATGGTCTCCCTGTGAGAGTGGGAATGTCCAGGGACCAGGTAATAAATGGAATGCTGGTTAGAAGTCTGGCTCACAATTGGCCCAATGGGCCTACAAAGCTACTTCAATGGTCATATTCCCAGTATATGATTATATCCCCTGCCTGTATCAGAGTCCGGAAACATGTCAGCAGCTGTTTTACAACAGCTATTTAATTTTATGCTGTGGACAGCATGACCTTGAGCCAGAATCCCATTTTGGAGCCCATTTGCAGGTACCTAATTGGCATTGCCATACCTGGCAGTTGGAGTAAGCCCCATAGTGGATACTTGTTTTATGGAAGGGGAGTTACAGTAGGGAAGGGCAGGAAAGATGCCTAAACTGTCCTCTCTGTGGCTCACTGGGCTAATCCTCTGCCTTGCGGCGCCGGCACACCGGGTTCTAGTCCCGGTTGGGGCGCCGGATTCTGTCCCGGTTGCCCCTCTTCCAGGCCAGCTCTCTGCTGTGGCCAGGGAAGTGCAGTGGAGGATGGCCCAAGTGCTTGGGCCCTGCACCCCATGGAAGACCAGGAGAAGCACCTGGCTCCTGCCTTCGGATCAGCGCATGGCGGCCATTGGAGGGTGAACCAACGGCAAAGGAAGACCTTTCTCTCTGTCTCTCTCTCTCTCACTGTCCACTCTGCCTGTCAAAAAAATTAAAAAAAAAATAAATAACTGTCCTCTCTGACCACAGTTGAGATATCGATAAAAAAAAAACAATATGGCGTAGGGTGGGGTCGGGGGAGGGTTGCAGAGATCAGTGCCAGCAAGAAGGACCTGAGGAACTGCAGAGGGTGACAGACACAACCAAACAGTGGCCCCTATGTTGGTGGCGTAGGATCATGGTGTGTAGCCACTGGTAAAGCAAATGCATTCGTCAGAAACGGCTGCATTTATGTGACACAGACGATTTTTACTCAGGGGGCCTGTGTTGTGTCACAGTTGTCTAACTTGCCAACCACGATGCCGGCATCTCATATCAGAGTGCTGGTCTGAGTCCTGGCTGCTCTGCTACCCATCCAGCTCCCTGCTAATGCACCTGGGAAAGCAGCAGAAGATGGCGCAAGCACTGGGCACCTGCCACCACATGGGAGACCCGGATGGGGTTCCAGGCACCTGGCTTCTTCCTGGCCCACCCCTGGCTGCTGAGGCCATTTGGAGAATGAGCCAGTGGATTGGAAGACCCCTTTCTGTCCGTCTCTCCTTTTCTTTCTGTCCCACCCTGCCTTTCTAATAAATAAAAATAAATCTTTAAGTCTTACCTTAGGACTGTGCTGACTTCCCTACCTTTCCTCATAAGACAGTCCCCAGAGACCCGGGCTCTCATCCCACAGACCAGCACACTGATCCATTACATGCATAACCCAGCGCCAGTCAGGATGGCACACTGGAGATCCTGGTAAGATGTGTGTTCTCGAAGAATGGGGGCTGGATTCTACAAAGATTCAGGAACCTGCTGGAACTTTCAGTGAAGATTTTAGAAGTCCAAAGAAGAAAAATTCAGCGACAACCAGTTGTCAGTGTTAGGGCATGATACCCCCTCCACAGTAAAAACAGAGTGCTTCTTTTTTTTTATATATATATAATTTTTTTTTTGACAGGCAGAGTGGACAGTGAGAGAGAGAGAGACAGAGAGAAAGGTCTTCCTTTGCCATTGGTTCACCCCCCAATGGCTGCCACGGCCGGCGCGCTGCAGCTGGCGCATTGCGCTGATCTGAAGCCAGGAGCCAGGTGCTTCTCCTGGTCTCCCATGGGGTGCAGGGCCCAAGCACTTGGGCCATCCTCCACTGCACTCCCTGGCCACAGCAGAGAGCTGGCCTGGAAGAGTGGCAACCAGGACAGAATCCGGCGCCCCAACCGGGACTAGAACCTGGTGTGCCGGCAACGCAAGGCTGAGGACTGGCCTAGTGAGCCACGGAGCCGGCCCAGAGTGCTTCTGATATGGTAAAGATTAGATAGAGGAGCCGGCGCTGTGGCAAAGCAGGTAAAGCTGCTGCCTGCAGTGCCACATCTCATATGGGTGCCGGTTTGAGTCCCAGCTGCTCTACTTCTGATCCAGCTCTCTGCTGTGGCCTGGGAAAGCAGTAGAAGATGGCCCAAGTCCTTGGGCCCCTGCACCCCCATGGGAGACCAGGAAGAAGCTCCTGGCTCCTGCTCTGGCCATTGCGGCCGTCTGGGGAGTGAAGCAGCGGATGGAGCACCTCCCCCAACTCTGCCTCTCTCTCTGCCTCTGCCTCTCTGTAACTTTGCCTTTCAAATAAATAAATAGATAATTTACAGTTCATGAGCTGGAAGCTGCACCTCCGCTTTGTGTTGTCGTGTTCATCAACCTGCCAATCAAGGGACCCCTCCCAGGAAGTACCTCCTACTTGGGACATGGGGGCGGAACCACGTAAACACTTCCGTTTTTCTCAGTGGGTAAAGAGCTAGGAAGCGCGGAAGCTCTCTCTCCTCCGTGTGGACTCAGGACGAGTAGAGCAGGGTATGATAAATCCCTTTCTTTAGTTCCTTTTCCCTAAACAAAGCCCTAATGGGCCTGTGTCTTTTTCTCACTTTGTAACAAAGTTTATCACGCTGCTCGCGGTGTTTGGGCCTGTATTTAGAATTCACTAAGTAAAAGGTAAGAACCTGGAAAATTTATTTAGGCCCTAACCTAGCTCATAACATTTCCTGAATTCCTTGCACAAACTTGAAATGCATAACATGGTGACTTCTCTGTAGGCCTAGATGATATATTCCTCTCTTAGGAATATTTAAGGATTTTTATTTATTTATTTGAGAGTTACAGACAGAGGGAGAGACAGAAAGGTCTTCCATCCTCTGGTTCACTTCCCAAATGGTTGCAACAGCTGGAGCTGCACCGATCTGAAGCCAGGAACCAGGAGATTCTTCCGGGTCTCCCACACAGGTGCAGGGGCCCAAGGACTTGGCCACCTTCCACTGCTTTCCCAGGCCATAGCTGAGAGCTGGATCAGAACAGAAGCAGCAGGGACACGAACTGGCACCTACACGGGATGGCAGCACTGCAGGCGGAAGCTTAGCCTACTGTGCCACAAGGCCAGCCCCTCACCTAAGAATATGGATGCGACCCATATAATAGGTGACACAGAAGGTTGTCAGCTTTGAGTGGAACCCAGTGCGGGAAAGACTGCAATAGGCCTAGACTGTGGCACAAGTGCCTGCTGCTCGGGTCACAGGATCTAGAGGACATCACAGTGTTGGGGATGTTGGTGGTGGGAAAGGATGTTAAACGATGCTTATGGAAAAGCTACAACAGACTCCAAAATGGGATGATGATCAACGTCACGCTGTTCACAGCATAAAATTAAGTGTCTTTTGTTAAACAGCTTCTGACATCTTTCCAGGCTTTGATATAGACAGATTGCTTAGCCAGGGGCACCCAGTGATTAGGTACCTGGAATTTCATTTTATAAATAGGATTCTGTTGGACCTAGCAAGTGAAACAATTAGGGTACCGGCAGCAGTCATAAAATGGAAGTAGTACACGTGGGATTGAAGGCTGGGCAGGAACAGAGTAGGAACAAGCTGCACGAGCAATTAACCTCGTCCTCATGACACCAACGTCATGTGCACACGCTTCCCACTGGACACACGTGTGCCTGATGGCCATATGGGTGATCTTGTGTAAGTGGCTGAAAGAGGAGGAACCATGCACGCTTTTACAGATAGGGGAGTTTGGTCGTGATGTAAGCCTGTGTGGATGGTGACAGCAGTAAAGCCTTATTCAAAGATGGCCCCAAAGGATAGTAGGAAGGGAAAGGAGAAGAGTAGTAGGTCATCTGCTTCATGTGGGAGGTGAGAACCTATGTGGGTTCTAGGGCAATGGATGGCCAGTGACCTGGCCATTTGATCTGGAACCCGGGACTGGAAGACTGGTGACAAAAAGTTAGGTGGAGGGGCGGATGGGTGAACATAGGGAAGTGAGCACAAAGTGTGGATATTTTTGTATGCTGTGGTGGTGCCCTTTATAGACAGCATTTCCTGCTGGGGGCCCATGCTGTGGCAG